TTGTCTGTCCCGCCGCGTAACGCGTGATTACAAAACTATTTTGAAAACAACAATTGATTACAGTCAGGGATATTACCCAATACGGTAATGCTCCAGACTTATATCGGTTCCCGATTCCTAGTTTAAGTTAAAGTGTATATATACAATATGTAGTAAACAATTATAAGAATTCAATTTAGATAATTGTAGCTTAAATATAACAGCTTCAGTAATACTAAACCAAAGTTATAAATCTAATAAAAGTATTAATGACAAGTAAATTAGTTTCAAAAAAATTATTATTTAAATCTTATATTTAAATTTAATTGATTTTTTTTAAAAAAAATAATATATTAAAATAATAATAATAAAGTTTTTAATATTTAAAAACTATACGAATTTAAAAGCTAATAAAATAAATAATTACACAATTTATAAAGTATATATAGTATATTAAATATAAATACCTATAATACTTAAAATTTTATATCTCTGATGGTTTAACAAAAAAGATTTATTGCAAAATTTTGTGCAAGTTACATTTTACCTAATCTTAAACCCTAATCTAATTTATTTTTAGAGGATTCTATTGGTACTCTACGGGTATGACACCCGGTATAAGAAAAAAAATCAAAAATCGTTAATATTTCAAAAAATTATTAGGAAAACCGATGTAAGTATCTTGAATAAAAATGTTCAGCACCTAATTTTATATATAAACCTTTAACTCCAACCCACCTAACTTACTCTAACTTAATATATAGTATATTTTTTCTTATACCGGGTACCATATTCTATGGGTATTTTTAGAAATTTCAAATTATATTTTATAAATTTTAAATATAAGTACTTTATATAAATCAATACAGTAGAATATATATAATTTATTAATTTACAATAATATCAATATAATTATATTATATAATATATATACGTATAATGGAATCGATTTGATGTAAGCTTTTTAAAACGATTTGTTTTTACAATAAATTGTATATAGTGAATAAATATACAGTATATACTGTATTTTATAAATTATATATTGTGTAAAGTAATTGTATATAGATATTAAACACCTTATAAGTACGTATGTACGCATATTTAAAAGGCAATTATAGACCAGAAGGTATGATTATAAAGAGGGACAAAAACAATTAGTAACTGAACATTTGCACATAATTTACAATTTGTTTAAACTAGGTACAATTGTAAATTTTGTGCAAAACTAACAATTGATACACAGCATTAATCATTTAACACGTATATCGATGTGCGTATATTGGACAATAAGCAAATGAAAATCTTATCGGTTGTTAGAATAAAATTTATGAATATTATTTGATTTTTTTTTTTTTATTCATAATTATTCATCAAAATTCGCATTATTGATAATTCAAACCGTATAAAGGTAATGTATAAGAAGAAAATATGGTCGCGGATAATCCCGGAACATTTTGTGATAGAAAGAAATGAATCTTAATTGGTTTTGTGCATTGGATATTTTCATTTAGTCAAATAACAATAAATTTAATTGAATCATACATAAATAAGTTGGTTGCAAATGGTAAGAATCAAAACACCGAATTTTAATAAATATTAAAATAAAAGTGCTTTTTATTTCAATGTTTACTTACTATCACAGCATGCTTGTAGTAGGGACGTGACATGATTTTCGAATATATTTGTATTGAATAAAATACTCGCGTTTATTTTATGCAAGAGGTCAAATAACTCAATTTAAGACTTAAAAGATTGCAAGCGCCCAAATTTGTTTCCATTAAAATCACCGTAAAAGTTACCATACATACTGTAATTCAGCACTAGACTCTATTAGACTACTACTATACCTATGACCAAATAGCATATATGTATATAAAGATTGATTTAAGGAGCAACATACTGTATGTAATTAGTATATTTATTATTGTGCTAACGCAGCAAGAAAAAAAAGAAAAAATATAAAAAAATTTTTTTTTTTATCTTGGAAAATATTTTCTTCAGAAACTTTTTCGAGAAAAAAATATATAAATATATATTCAAAGTTTATTAAAAATTCTTTTATGATAATTTTTTTCAAAACTAAAAATTTTATAAAATAAATAATCATTTCTTTTATCTTACGACTTGAATAACATGTCTCAACAAAACATAAACAGTTACGATTATAATTATGATTTTAAACAACAAGCATACCCTTCAAACACTTATTCTACATTTATTCCAACAGAAACAAATTTCACTCAACAATCTCTTTACGCGTCAAATTATCCAATTTATAACGATTATGACCATATTTCTATGGGACATTTTGGGAATACACTTATCGACGATGGAGTGATTTCCATACATACAGATTATTGGAATCATTCAAATCCATCAATTCAAAAGTTAAATGGAAATTCAAATTGTGCACAAATTAACAATAATTATTGTTCGTGCAATAAATTAATACCGTGTGAAAAGTTTGAAAATGATCAAGTAGAATATGCAACACCTGAGTCATATCCTGAATCATATCGATATTCACAAACTTTTGAACAAAATGAAGGAATACCATCACCATGTAATTCTTTAGTCCTTTGCCAATCTCAGAACAATCCAATATTTTCAGCGCCCTCAGCCACTATTATTCATCAACAACCTATAAATCCAATTGAATCCCTAATAGAAGAACAAAACAACGATCATATTTCCTCAAAATACTCTATCAAAAAGACTTCTACAATGATAATTCGATCGGAAACATCACCTGAAACCCTAAAAAAATATGAGACGTGCGAAGAATATGTAATATACTATGAAAAACGATGTCAAGTTCATGAAGATGGCGAAATGGAGACTTTTGAAGAGCAAGTGATTAAAATGGATAAAAGAGTGAAAGTTGAAGTTCTTAATGTTAATAGAAGTATTGAAATTTGAGAATAAATTTGTAATATTAATACTAATAATAATTAAATTCTTTTAAATATGTATTTTTTTTTTTGGATTGTATTCAGATTTTGGTTCTTATTAGAAATCTGATGTAAAAAAAAAAAAATATCTTCATTGATATAAAAAAAAAAGTCGCGTTTTTTTTTAAAAAAAAAAAAGTCGCGGGAATTTATAACATTTTTATGAATTTTATGCTTGCATATTTTTCATAATAAATTTCAATCAATTGAAAATATCTTTAGTTATATGCTACTTGTAATGTCTAAATTCCAGAGAAATCTTGACGAATGTCTAAATACTGGAGAAAATTTGACAAACGTCTAAATCCTGGAGAAATTTTAACAAAGTCGCGAAGTATATGTATGTATCAGAAAATATATAGTATTATTAGGTATCATGTGTGTAACTATAGCGATAGCTGTATCGATGATTTGAACCAAGTTTTTTTTCAACAATCACATGATATTTATTAAGAAGCATTTTTGAAGCATTTTTTCTGAAGCATTTTCTGAAGCATGTTCTGAAGCATTTTCTGAAGCATGTTCTGATGTAGAAAACAATTTTACGCATTGAATAGTCTAAAGATTGTATTCGTGGAGAACGTTTCTATCCAGGTACTATTAAATTAATCGAGTTGCTAGGGTAATTTACTATAGCCATATAATAATTTCCACCTCGGTACAATCTAGGTACATTCCCTAAAGTAGTTATATAGAATCCAATTCCGAATGCGATTTGCATCATCCATATGGTGGGGTTCTTTTTCATATTAGTTCTGAACTCTATTTCTTCATCTGATCAAAAAGTTATTTAATAGAATCTAAGAATGCTCTTCGAGTTTGTCTATATGCAAAGTGTGATTATTTTGGAAAAATTTGGTAGTACCAATGTTTCAAATTTAATCCAAAACCACGAGCAACCACTTCGTATGATTTCTTAAAGTTAAATTTACTGCTCATTTCATTGTAATTATAATTATAGAAGTATATTACACATGATATTTCAGAACTAATAAAATGTTGGAGACTTGGCCAAAGATTGTGGTAAATATGGGTCAAAGTAAACACAGATAAATTATGTTTAGGCCTCTATTAGTCTTTGTCTTTTGAAGTCTTTTAAAGTCTTTTAAAGCCTTTTAAAGTCTTTTAAAGCCTTTTAAAAGTTATTTAAAGTACGACACTTATGTGCGAGGTTATGTGCGAGGTAGGGACACATAGGATTACTAACCTGATAATAAAACCCATTCTTAAAGGTATCCCAAGTCACTGACGTCACACCTCTGGCGAGTTGCCTTGTCTCCATTTAACTCCGTAACATTGGTGGTAACAATGTTTCTTCCTAGTTTAGCTAGTAACGCAAGTGGTTTTGTATCACATAAATAAATCTTTGTCATATAACTATATTCAAATCTATGAAACAGATTCGGGTCATACCGGTCTCTTTAACATCTCTGTTCATGTTTTCAAACTTTAAGAAATATGTATATTCGTGATAAACCTATTTTATATCAGATATATCAAAATTAAAATACGTACTTTTTTTGATTAATAAAAGTGTACTAAAATTAGGTGGCGCAAAAGATCCGAATTCTGTTTAGCATATACGAATTATAAATATGTATCAATAACAATAATACTGTGTTATGTAAGATTATATGTGTTTATACTTTAAGTTGCAATTCAATTTATATTAAATATATGCATTATTTTATACGAATAGTATCTTCTTAATATAGTTTTTCCGTCTCCTCGATTCTTCTTCATATTGCTGTACTGCAACATTTTGACAAATTAAAACGGGTTTACATATATGCATCGGGGTATGCATGTATAAAGATAATCTTAAACCACTAAAAATTATTTGTTCACATTAAAATTATATCGATATATCTTTAAAATTATTACGTTCTTTAACTTAAAACTTGTTCTCTTAATTATGATTTTGTAATCTATGTACGCACGTACGTACGTACGCACAAATCTTGTGTGTATTTATATATATTTCTCACCTAAATCCTTTCTCTATTCATGCACTCTATATATCAGTTCTTACCTTTAATGGCCCTTATTAAAATTATTCTCCGTAAATAGTGCTCCCTCTCTGAATATTTTGTCTTTTCCTGTGCTTTCGTATTGTAGATTCGACGTTCTTGTATGTTATGTACATATATAAGTGGCGGAAATTTGATTTTTATGTTATAAATTCTATAATATAAATTATAAGAAAATACAAACTTTAAAGAGTTATACTGCAAAATTTTATTAATATAACAATATTTGTTGCTTAAATAAAAACATATTCCTAGGATAATTTTGGATTAGTTAAGCTTAAAAAAAGGTTTTTGAAAAAATTGTTAATTTGGTCCCTTTTTTCATCACCTAACCCATCATATCGGTAAATTTGTGGAATTGGGTCTTTTTTTTAAACCCCTCAAATTATAATAGACCAATCAGAATCATTGAATTTAGGTCACCAAATCATAATAAAATTTCTCATGAATAACTTATAATTACCGGTAGTCAAAAAATAAGACTACCTGAATGATGCGTAACAGTAATAACTATTTCTATTAAACTTTAGAACTGATGCGCTAATGCATATATTTCCCCATTTAGCTTGAGTATACCAAAGCCAAATTTCATAAATTGTATGAATATGAACCCAAATTGCTGCACGGCGTTTTTTGGGATT